AATTTAAAAAGAAGTAAAGAAAATTAAGTGGATGAAATCTTCCTGACAATTTCATTGAGTCAAGCTTCACAATCACACTGATGATTAATTAGTATACGAAGATCTACAATAAAATAGATGTATCCTGAATCAATAAAGAAAGTGATAGGAAGTCTATCCAAGTATTAAACCAAATTGTGTAACAAATCGAAGTAAAAAATATATTAAAGACAAAAGACTGATGTCAACTTGAAGAATATTGAGAAACTATGAATAAATTATTTGCAAATATCAAATATGAAAGAGTTGATGTGATGGTCTAACGAATAAGTAAAAATTATTAAGGTAAGGATATGTTAGGGAAGACACACAACTGTTCATTTGATGAATGGGAAGGGAAAAAGTAAATTTAATAATGCCTATTCAGTAATGGCAAATGTATAATAACTATAGATTAGTGAGTACGGAATATAGAGTGGGGTTAAGACCACGATAAAACAAGAGATTGGACATATAGCTTTGTATATAGAAATTAGGCTGGAATTATGGGGTTGCTTATTTCTCATTTGCTCAATGAGAAAAAAAAGATTCCACTGATTTTTTTTACTATCCGAAAAGTCGTTCATTTAGCGAAATTTCCATTCGGTAATCCAAGAATTAATACTTTTATACTCAAAATGATTGGATTTTTTCTGCTTTAAGAGTAATTATCTTCTTAATAAATTTATTCATAAAAACAAGGTCGTTATTGACAAAAATTTGCCGAAACTTGAACGGAAAACCTATCAAATAATAATTTATTTATCCAATCTTTTATATTAAATGAGGTGAAACAAACTAGCTGATTGTTCTACTGAATTTTGTTTACAAACTTATTCTCTGGATTAAGATATAAAATATATAATAACAATAAATATACGGACAAACAGTCATACACCACTTTCATACAAACGTAGATCCAAAGTGTGTTATGATGCAAAATAGTATCAAGTTAAATTATGAATAACGAATAACAACACACTCGAAAATCAGGTCAGTAAATTTACAATGTTGCCTCATGGAACTGATCATATTTAAGGTCAAATTATCAAATCCCTCTCATTGTATGAATATATATATACATGCACATACACAGATAATGAAAATTGGCGGACACTTATTTATAGACATTTTAACACATCAAAAACAATATGAGAAAGAGAAAGATGTAGCATAAGGAGAACATAAAAAGACGATAGATCAACATTTAGTTCATATTGGAATAAAGACATCTGAAAAGTGTAGTGCTTATGTGACTTTAGAGAATGCAACAAATGTCAAATACATTTTATTAATAAAATCTAATGCATCGATCTATACAACAGGTTAGTAGGAAAGAAACAAATTTTAAAAGGAAAAATACGAAGACCAGTAATAATCATGATTAGATAGAGTGATCTACGTCATCTAAATCGAACAAGTTATTTACGTGACAAATGAAAATTAATCACACTTGTTTCATGATAAATTCTTCAAAAATAAAGGGGGTATCAACAAGTTTTCTTTTAGAAAAATTTATCCTTCACACTGTACATTCGTAGATGTATAATGTTTCTTTTAAGAGTTATAAAGATATGTTTCTTAATAGTGACAGATATTTACTGATCATACTAACAGAGGAACAAAATAAAAAGTATGCAAAATTGTTTTTTTAAGTAATAAACTGAAAATTTAGTTTTTAAGAACTTAAATATCCACCAATAAGATGGATGGGCAAAAAGAATTGAGAAAAGTGAGGAGATATGATGTTGAGGCTAAAATGAAATTTAATTAGAAAGGACATGGAAACAGAAATACACCACTTCTAAGTAGATAATCAGTAAAAAAATACAGGGGAAAAGGTAATGGTTTTAGAAGACCACGATAGGAAAATAGGTTGAATAAGTTCCCATGGTTTATGCAATCGTAACGTCTTTAAATGTGTTTCATAAACGTATTGTTTTTTATATGAAACGACTCTTATATTCTTTTTTGGTAATTCCCATACAATATTGATAGATAAATACCGAATCTTTGGATTTGTGAGCAATTGTTACTAAACTAAATCGTAGCAAGTTGGAAAATCGACCATGCATACGATTATTAACCTGTTGTATTAAGCTGGTAAAGTCACGATAGTTATTTTATGCTAAGAGAATCATACAGTAGGAGACCATTCTCTATTATTTTATTCTACATAATTCGATATCTGATGAAATGAATTTATATAAATATTTAGGACAACACATTGGTTTGCTTAAAACTTTACACTCCTAAGCTTACACAGTACACGATAAAACTTTAAAATATTTGCCACTCAGGAAGATGGCTTTAACACAGCAGCCTGATCAGTTTAATCATTAAGCTTTCAATATCCTTCTGGGAAACATAATCAGAACAAACTTCCGATAGGTCAATTTCATTTAAAGTTTGAACTAATGACATCTACGAAGGCCATAAAAGAATCACAATTAAACTGATTAGTTCTGAGAATGCAGCCCTATCAAGAAATGCCCCAACTCTTTTGTTTTTACGATTATCTACATATTGTTTATCTGGAAACAACATAATTTTCATCTGATCTGAATTTGCACACATGAAAAAGAGATTTCCTTTAAACAATTATTTTGCAAAGTATGACGTCAGTTAGCTATTGTTATATTGCTTTGTAAAATATTGAATGAGGTCGCAAAATTTATCATTAAAAAATTTATGATTTGAAATCTGGAAGAAATAACACATTCAGTAGAGAGAATCAGCCTAATACATAATATTAAAGAAGCGTGATACACTTATTCAATCAACTTGGTATAGTTAAAAGTCAACGATATAAAAAGATTCAATAAATGGTTACTGTATTCTTTTCATAATAAAACATTTAGGTCAATAACATCATTTGTGTTATAAATATATTAAAAAATCATGTTTCAAAATAAAATTATTTTGTTAAAAAATATTTATTAGTATGAAAATAAGTGTCAGTTAAAAAAAATGAGGTTGATGAAAAAGAGGTTAAATTAGTGTGAGTTAAAAACCTTATAAAAGCTTGTAAAAACAATCATCAGAATTTTTCTCGAACTTGAGAGAAATGCAAGTCCTTGTGGCTATTTAATGGTTTAAGGCAGTAGAATTTAAGTTATCAGATTTAAACTTTATTTTTATGAAACAAAACTGCTAATTAATAGTTACAATGTCACGTAAGTTTTTAAGTGGTCTTACGTATGAATGAAAAAAGGAACTCTATTGATATTTTCATCATATTAATTATATAATAATGTTGTGAAATAATTCAGTCCAAATAAAAATGGAGTGGTTGATTAACATTTTATTTGGACCACTTAAGAAAGCCTGTAGTGATAGGGTGGACTACTGATATAAAAAAAATCACGTTTGCAAATGAACTGCCTAAATAAAACAATTGTTAAATGATTTTCATTAGTATGAAACAAATAAGTACAAAAACAACTTTAGTAATTAAGATAATTAAATTTGAACACTTTCTAATATTTTCATTGTGATAACAATGTAAAACGTTAACTCTAAACTGGATCCATATATAATACGCCCAATGAATAAATGGAGATCATAAGAAGATAATTCAATAAATCGTTCTCATCCTCAATGACCTACACATGATTTTTGAAAAAAAAAATAATTATCTGTTTCCAATGCTTAAAACATATCTGCAGTTTTACATGTCTCTGGTTATACAAGCACCTACCTTGTCATTACAAGTATATTTCAACTCCAAATGTTTTGTTACGATCATTTCCACAGACGATTTTCCCTAAATTAGCCCATCCTAAACCATAGGGATTAAAGAAGGACTGCACACGTCTTATATTTTCGTAAAAATGGTAAATTGACATTAGTTTTGACCCTTCATCCGACTTAAAATCATAATGCGATTCACTATTACACGATATTTACATCGAAACAGCTTCAACCTTTAATTAATTATATTCGCGATTACCTTACAACGTTTTATGAGTTTTTTTCTAGTTTCATCACGAGCGTCACTAGTTCAGTTGGCGTATTTATTTCGCTAGTTCATGTAAAAACTATAGTGAATCTAGTAACCAAATGCCCTGCTTCATGTCCAATGTTGCCACTACGTGATATCAACAGTAAAGCACTGTATATAAAATACAGATTTTAAATTTTATATTGGATACTTAATAACTAATTAGTTTTAAGGTCTCTTCAATGAGTTATTTTTACCGTTCCATTGAAATGTATACAGCTTTTTTATACGTAGAAAAATGAAGCTATACATGCAGAAAATATTCATTACATATGTGACAACTATGCAAATAAAGCGGTTAGCCTACAAAGACTTCACCAAAAGCTGAAAACCCAACTTTACTTGAGTTGACTTGGACTAACAGGTAGTACCACTAACCCGTACACAAAACGTATTGTCTGATCCTGAGTACAAATAACCTTTGAATTCACAAAATTATATATGGTGGTATGGGTATTTAATATTTGTGCACGTATTGCAAAGATTAGACAATTTATCAAGTCATTAATTCACTGAAAACAAGAGACATATATATCTTCCAGTTATATTGAGTCACTGTAGATACATTTTTACTGCATTACTGATTTATCAAAAACGAACACAGAGCGTTTTGTATCCAGTAACTGTAAATTGAATGATATAAGTTGTATTCTACACAAATACAACACAACTCACTGACAAAGACACCGGAAGAAAAATGAATAACAGATAGGTTATACTTACAAACTACACCTAGAAAACTATTCATAAAATGTAATTCTTATCTAAATGTGATGGTTACATTGTAACGAAAAACAAATGTTAATAGATAGAATAAACACAAAACAGAGTAAACGTTTATTTTCACCATTTTATTTAACATTCACAATGTAAAAATATTGACTGTAGAATGAAATAATTAACTGAAATTTCATTGAAAATTATCTGCACTAAACACAGTTTTTCTATATATATAACAATAGTAGTAGTATACACTCACCAGTTAATGATTGTAAACCAGCTCCAATTGTTGATAAACATGATCCAATTAAAATAACCCAAAAATGTGGCCATGCAAATGCAGCGACTAACAATATACCACCATAACTTTCACCGAATCTGTTAAAGTTTTGTTTATTTTCAATAAATATTACGATATGATTAAAAGGATGAAAACATTTTTTAAAAAAATAAATAAACCCTAGTAAACTTGGATCAGAATTTAAAGAACAATTTATGCTCATAAATACAAGAGAAGTTTAGAAAAAAAATTTACGTATGATAACTTTCAATTCAGGTCATAAATTTATTAATTCATACTGTTTTACAATATTTAAAACAATTAACCCCTTTGATAAATTTGAATAGTGTAGATGAAAATTGGCAGAAATACATGCAATACATTTGGAACAATCAAATCATACATATATTAACAAAGATCATTTATATATGAGAAATAAAAGCTTGACGAAACAAACTGAAAGTTAAGAAGAAACAAAGATAATAAAAAAGGCGTGAAACTCCATCCTGGATAATAAATTCATATCATCAAATTAGATTTAAGGTTAGAGCATAAATGTTTGGATTTTCGCATACCCAAGGTTTGAATAAACCTTAGCATATGCCCTATAAAAATTTGTACACAAATACAGAGGCTGAGTTAAGATTGGCCTTATGAACTCTTTTTTAATGTGTCTTGAGAAATAGAGAAAAGTAAACGCTTGTCTTCCGCTCTCATTGGGTTGTTCGATCATGTTTATTTCTGTATCCATTTTGGTACATGTCTAGACAAACTAACTTGCAAATCACGTTTACTTTTGCATACGTGTGGGCCCAAAATCCAAAAGACCTAGACGCCATGTCGACGTTTGCGTTATATCCTACTGTACCATTTGTTTAATATATAACCAATCGTTAATATTTGAGCAAATAGTTTGACAGAAATTGAGCGCCCTGGTATATAAATATAAGGTGTAAGACCTATCTTTAAAACAATCTCAAGGAATGAAATTTAAATAATTCCAACGTTTCGCCCGGTAATCTTGTCTGTACTTTAAAGAATTTACATATGATTCTTACTAAATAACTCTACACTGAAGGCAACCAAGATCCCATCTCCCGTCTACAAAACCCCTTCTGATACTAATCGGAACATGCTCACTAGTGACTGGCTTCAAGAGGTATTTCCTGGAGTTCTAGTGAGAAGCAGTAACCGATGGAGTTCAACCGGGTCGGTTGTGAGATAGTAACTCAGTGAAGAAAATGGTGAATGTGTCGCTTAATTTCGTGAATCAGTTGAAGTTAGACATTAACAATAATGGATGCCAGCTCAGTGGTCTAATGGGACTGATAGGTGCTGCGTTCGAAACTTGCGAGGCGGGATCTTGGACACGCACTGCTGAGGAGTTTCATACAGAGGTGGAATGGCCGTCCAATGCTTCCAGGTTTTCGACAGTGGTCTAGCTTCAATTGACTCACGATCTTAACTATTAAATTACTATTAGTTTCCCTGGTAAAAATAAGGTTTTAATATCTTTGTTTACTCTACCACACTGTTAGTATGTTTAGCAAAATATTACTATCGCTGTTATTGTATTATCATCTTGAAAATAAGCATATAATTACGACTGTACAGTTTTGAAAATGAATACTCCAAAAAAGAGAACTCTTCGCCAAACCCATCTTTGTTATAAACATGTTTGACAGAGATAAAGTACAAATCATTTTTTAATAAACAGCTTCCTAAGGGTAACTTGTCGTATTTCAAGTTCTTTGTTAAGGCTGTTTTGATTATCAAATACAAACAGTGAGTTTAATGTTAGTCTTTTTATACATCATTTATTTTGTTTATTGGTAAACAGTAGTAAATTGGAGAAACAAACAATGCAGAAATCCTTATTATTGTATTGACAGTCAGACGCAAAAATGTCCATGTTGCAATAAAAAAAATAAAAAAACACAAACATTACATTCGTTTTTTTTCCTATTTTTGGATTATTGTTTATAAATAGCATTGGAATGTATATTCAAACAATAGTTGTTAGCGTATCGATTACTTTCGTAGGTTCAACTTAAGTGAAAACAATTAGCTACAGGTAAACTCGTCACCCGACACGTAGTATTTCAAAAATGTAACCAAACACTAAACTGTGTATACGTTACTCGTCAAATAGAAGTTTCCATTGTTAAAAGAACTAAAGAAAGTTAATAGTTTTCACGGAAAACTATTGTAAGTATACACAGTATTAGGCATTGAATACCATTTGAAAGCTTTCATTTCACATTTCAAGTGTCAGTATAAAGATTATTTTTAAATCACTGCTTTTCAGTGCTAACTGTTGTCGATTCCATAAGATATCAGTAGTAGTCTTGGAATCATGTCTTATTTTGTTGTTTCAGCTCTTAGGTTTTTATCCAAATGTTTTTTTAAAATAATATTTCAGCAGCAACGTATCTTCAACTAGATGCCAACCTAAAAAGAATGAACCCTGATGGAGAATGAATTTGAAAAGAGTTATTTGTTGACATTTGTTTCTACGATGACCTGAAACAAGTGTTCAGCAAAAATAGACGGTTAATATTAAACTAAACGTTATGGTAATTGCCTAAAATTGTGGTGTATGCTATTTATGTCGACAGTCATAAGTAGTATATAACACTAAACGGAAGTGGAAACTCCGACATCAGAAAGCTTAAAAAATCAAGTTTAAGAAAATAGAAACGGAAATAGAAACAAAACGAGAATAGGAAGAATGATACAAAATATGAAAGACAAGTGATGGAACTTTGTAAATGAAGTATTTAGTGTATAGTTCTCATATTTTACCAAGACATTCTGTAATTTTGAGTTCTTGTTAATTACAAAATGACAGGAATCGAAAAGTTATGATTACCACATCTTTTACTGAAGCAGATATTGAAGATTATTGAATTACCTTTATCACCAAAATTAGAATACATCCATAATTGACCAGTACAAAATTCATAAGATTTCTGAAAGACAATTGACTTCAAAGTTTGTGCCTTCACGTACTTTTTATCGAATGACCGGTAATAAAGATACAGATATGAATCGGATTTTTTAATATTTTTTAAGTTACATTAGATTTTACCCGGATCAGATAAATACTTCTTGAATACTTACAAAATTTAACCATCATGTAGTTGATAGGAATATTGTTTACTAATGAGATTATTAAATAGAAGTAAACTTCATTCAACAAAAACACTCTATCAATATTACATGAAAAGTTGTTTGATCATAAACCAAAAATTTGTGAAAAAAAAGACACTCACTTATCTCTCATAACAGAGCCATCACAGATTGCAGCAAACAATAAAGGTGATGATAAATCTTGTCAGTTGAAATTTTGTGATAAAGAGGCGTACAACAATTAGACATCATTGTTATTTAAGTAAAAATAACAGATTAATAAAATGTGGAAAAGTTAAGGAGTTATTTATTGGATGAATTTTATATAAATAAAGTGGTAAAACAATGAAAATTATCCTATTGACACTTGAATATCTATTATATCTATGAATAACTTAAATTTACTCATATTTCTAATTGTTTCACCATAAAAATCGCATAAAACAAGATAAAACAAATAATAGAACTATGGCAACACGTCAATTTGTGCGCATTTAATACATATGATATTGATATATGTAAAAACATTATAGAATAAAAGAATAGCAGATGAATGCACTTCGTCGCCTACGGCAAAATGTTCTCTAAAGAACATGTAATCACATCCACATATATATATATGTGGTTAAATCTACTGTCCTTGGAAGTAATATAATCAATTAAGTTGGTAAATATATACTTATGTTTGAAATTGTTTATAACACGAGAAGTTTGTTATTTCTAAAAACTAATTCTTTATTTCTACGTTTGATAGAAAGTAATGAAAGTTAATAAGAAAACATTTAAGTCAACAGAAAATAACCTAGAATTGATTTTACACTACCATACTTTTTGACAGCAATCAATTCCATTTACCTCGATTAAGCTCAATTAAAAGCTGTAGTTATTCCCACATTAGTGTGATGCATAAAATCAAACTTATTGAAAGTGAAGTTTAAATACACTTAAGGGAAAAAAAAACCCATTAATAATAATATGATAATTGATAGACTTCAGTCGAGATTAAAAACGTAGACAAAGTGTACTGATGAATATTTAATGATCTTTTTCTAACAAGTAATCCATATTTGACACTCAAAAAACTAAGCAGTAATGTTAGTTGTCATAGTTTTGATTAATTCAAATATAAATAAAGAATCCTTTAGATCCAGAATCGACTTGTAGATAAACAAAAAGAAAACATTCAAAATAAAGATATTTTAGCATTTAATTGAAAATAAGTTGTGTATGTATTTAACATATTGATTATTTCATGTGATGAACAAAGAATGGTGATAGGAAACTAAACAAAATTAATTTAAAAACAGTAAAAGTAGCGAATGGAAATGAAGTTATCAATACAAAGCTCATCTTTTCTAGATTGATTAATCTGAAATAGTGTCGTTTCTACTATAAAACAAAAAACGAAAATTACTAATGATTTCAAATCTAGTCAAAAATATAAAAAACATCTTTCCACTTATTCAGAATTATATGATTAAACAAACAAAAAAAGACTTAATGAAACTCTGTAAAGTGATTTAAAAAATATTTGATTAGCAATTAGGGTGATAACAAGAAAAGTGGAAATGACTAATTAATTTAGTGCAATTTACAGATTTCTCCCTTAGTATCTAAAAGGATACATACAAGCGATGTCATTGTTATAGCCAATATAGTTCCCAATGGAATAGATTTCTGAGGATTCGTCAAATCACCTGATCGATTCGAACCAGCCATGATGCCTAGATGGATAGAAGATTTACACGAGTTTTAAAAAAATAGAAGATGAAAAATTAGTATTTTGAAAATGGAAATTGACTTTTAAGTAAAATAACAAATAATTATAATAAAAATAATTAGTAGACCAATTGCTCTGGGCAATCACCTAAGCAAAGACACTTTAACAAGAAAGTAGACAACTATTTAATTTTTATAATGAGAAATGGTTCTTGCTGAAATCCCTAATGTAAAACTGAAATATATTACTACTTCATATATATATATATATTCGTATTCTTTCATTTGACCTATTGGCTATTGCGAGACAATTTACCATCAGCTAATTTTAGCTGGTGGAATTAATCTAAATCAAGTAAATTTAGATCAGCTGGCATTATATAACGTACCCCGATAAACGATGAATCTCGGAAAGTAACCTTCACTTCCAATTGTCCTAACAAGAGAAGGTAATTAGCACATGCAGTACGAGGTTTTTGTGTTGTTGCAAGGGATTCGTTTTAGTCTGTTGGACTGAGCTGGAGTGGAATGGACTGAGAGTAACAGGTACATAATTATTCTGGTTAGTTGTCTGTTGCGCTACTCGTATTTCAAGTCGACTAAACCAATCATTGCAGATTAATGGGGCGTTGGTATTCATTGGCCATGTCAATAAGGGTAACTTTGAATATTGATACAATCGACACACTAGCCACTGAACTTTTGGGATTGGATGCTGCAAACGAGGATGAGGGCTTTAAACTGGTCTTCAGACAAAGACTTCAACCGGAAGCGATCGCATTCACGGTTAACGATGCCCACATGCGTAAGAAAATCATCGTCTTCGTTCATAATTAGCTCCAAACATCGATAACGAGCGTTGAACAATGATGGGTTGTAGCTGAAATGATGACCTAATATCTGAACTGTGTCTAAGAATGAGCGACTACGTGGGTTCAAAGGCAGGATCAAATTACAGTACATGTCCAGCTCACTTGGACCCAACTTTCGAAATAGCAGCCGAACCTTCAAAGCATCATCTTGATTAGCGAAATCAAATTGAAATAGGTTTTAATAACGCCGAAATCACATGTCAAAAGTGACGTTAGCATCAGGATCATAATGAAACCCAGCAATACTATTTTCGATGCCGTCTACTGATGGTGCTGTGGTTGCATTAGATATGATAGGCTGTATGGGAGGCGAAATCGTGATATCTGTCAACATCTGTATTAGTTTCAGCATCTGCTCAAGTAATAATTCAAGTTCAGAAGGATCCATATTTCCAAAACCACCGTCGCCAAATGATATGCTTGAACGCTATTACAGTTCACCTTACTCAGTAAACGGAACAAAGGTCAAAAATACAGTGACACGATAGGCTATTCTAATCCGTTTTCTCCGGCCCTGGTAACTATATCAAGAAGTCTTGATGAGGCGTAGAGAATGTATTCTACAAGCACCTAGAAAATACGAGGTCACTAAGCATATAAATCAAGCTCATGTATACAATGATAGAAACGCCCTTGGGAGAGCCACAAAATAACGTACTAGAAAATCCATCAACCAATGACAATCAAGGATTTTCGAGTGGGAAATGTAAGTTATAAGTCAACTAAGCATCTCTTGGCGCAAAAACATAAAATTTAAATTTCTAGAATACAATTACAAGATTAGGACTTTTTCCAAATGAGTTCTGGGGATCTAGCGACCTCAACATTTCTGAACTCTAGATGACCGGTTAGGCGATAAGAACCAACAAGGACTCAGAGTAGACTCTAGGCTACTCGTGCTGGTTAATGCGTGATTGATTTGGCACAAGATCAAGGTCGTGTGAGTTGTTGTTCTGGTTGGAGATCTTATCATGTGATAATTTGACAGGCCATAAGAACATAATATATACTTGATTCTGTTTAGTTATTTATCATTATATTATATCAAGCAGATATTGTTAGTAACGTTACTGCATTCGGAATTCCTAATTGACGAATATGCTTATATGTCTGTACTGAAGAATATACAAAATAAATATATTGGATTTGAACTAAGTTTTTTTGACTTTTTAACTCTAATTTTTGAAGTATACACAACTCAATTAGAGTTAGTAACCAAAGATTTTCGAATTGTCAATTAAAGCAAATTTTCAATTGAATTTTAGTCTAGAGTTTAATGCAATATTAACATTTGTACATAAAAGAGTGAGATTAATTCTTTCACTAGTTATAATTCTTAAATTATAACTCGCTAAATTGAAGTATAAGATCAACGTTGATGATGAGATTAATTTAACTAGTCAGTAACTTTCAATATGAAGAGCATAACAACAATTATTCTTGGTTGAGAAAAACGTATAATAATTAAAAGATTTCTGTGGTTGATTTAAAATAGACTCTTATTCCAGGATATTATGAATGTAACTAATTGTGCTAAATCGTTTCTATGATGAATACAATTGATACACAAGTATAAAAAGAGACAACTAAAAGTAATTGATAATTTAGTAAATAATTGTTCATTCGAATATACTTCACATTTTCTATTAACAGAAAATGACGTGCTTCACTAAAATTTGCAAATTCCAACTTTGTTGAAACCGTCTAGAATGGTGAATGTAAACGTTATTTTCAGACGTAAATATTTATTGCTTTATAAAAGAGGGGACTGAAATAATTTCAGGATGCTACACGAAGTTTATTTCAACTTATTGACTCCTGTTGCTGAGAGAGTGGTGGATAGATAAACTATGGATAAGAATTACCTTATACGATGTACGACGGTAGAGTAAGAAATTTATTATTAGACTCAACCTGATGACGAGTTCCTTCGTAGAAACATAATTTACCATCGGTTTATTTGATTATTAAGCTATAACGTTGCAACTAGCATGGGTGAAATCTCAACATGGTTCAAAAATATAATAATTTTGTAACCAGAATTAATTATAAAAATCATAGAATCACAGCTCTGTAAGAAATTAACTCATTTTAAGATAAAACAGTGCCATCAAATGGGATAAGTCACATTTTTTTTAAAATTTTAATCATTTATGCATGAAGATTATTATTGATTTCAACAAATGATCAACTTACCGGTGACAGATGGAAAGTAAATACCCAAGAGAAGCATAAAACTTGATGTAACATCTGCTATATTTGGACCTTGACCATATTTACGATCAGCCGGAAAATCAATATTATCATATGCCTCTCCCTTTTCACGGTAATGTGATTTAAAAAGGTTTTCTAAATAGGATTTTAAATTTTTTTTAAAAAAAAAATATTTTTCAACTAAGATAAGAACAATAAAATTATTTACTTATAAAATAACTACATAATGAGATATCAAAATATTGCTTCACAATGTTGATTTCCATGAAGCAAATTAAGAAGTTAATTTTTAAACATAAAATATTCACAAATATAAATCTATGATAGAATAGAATACCAATTCAAATCTATTAAGAATGATACAGTTTTGTTCACTCCAAAGCACTTTGGATTTGCATTTGTTAAATAAATGTATTCATAAACACACTGTAAAATACAATTTTTATAATTTGAATACTTTTTCTTTCTTTGGTTTTTTCTAGTTAATTGAAGCATAAATGGAAATTTTCCGTAGTATGAATTATATTACTTTATTACAAGCAAACAGTGATTATATTATTAATCTATATGGTACCACGTGATATCCAATAAGCAAGTGGAAATTTTAAAATGTCTGTTAACTTACAGTCTAGCTATTATTCTGATTTCAATTAGAGCATCTTAACATTTAAAATGTGAATATACAATTAAGGATTCAAGTAATCACACTACAATCAAACTTTATTATTGATGACATGAAATATCCAAGTATTCTAAAAGATTTTTCTTCGTTCTTTATGAATATCTATGATCTATCAAATAAGAACCTTGCGCTAACTATTTTTTTCGATAATGCAGTAAGAAGACAAAGGTTATTAGAAGTATGTGATATATTTACGCAATACATTTATAACAATCTGAACACACATCTAGTTTTTAAGACATTTTTTAACTCGTACGGAATAATTTGTGTTGCATATTTACCTAATTTGTGACTAACATAGGTTTAAGAAAAGGATAAGATGAAGAAGATGAGAAGAAACATTTAATAATTTATTTTATACAGCATGGAATGAAACTGCATTTTCTGTCCTTATATATTATGCTCTTAAAAAATGTTATCAAAGTCTTATGTTTACTTCCCTCATTTTCGTTTGAATTTTATAAAGACACAAAATCGTCCAGTTATTCCCAGACTATGCAACAGTTAAAATATAATAATTTACACCGCCTCCATGTGTATCTTGTTACTGAGATATATACGGCACAATCATGACAAACCGTTCAATATTTTGCCAGTATTATAGAAAAATTCATTAATAGATATTACAAGACATTATTTTCTTATCGATAAGATCAAAGTGGATCAGTAAACTAAAGGATGAGACTTAGAAATAATAATAGTAACCATAAAAGTGTATTTCATTATCATTTAATACGAAACACGCAATATATATATATATATATATATATATATATATATATATATATATATATATATATATATATATATATCCTCTTGTTATAACACTTTAGAACTAAAATATATTTACTTGTCATTCTTAAAATAATTATAAACTGAAATACAGTAAGGTAAAACTCATGGAAAATTGGAAACTCTTGAAGATCCTTGATAATTTACATTTACAGTTATCTTTTCAAAATGCGAATCCATGAAGAATGTCTAATGATATTATAATCACAAACCAGAAAAAATAGATAATCGTTGAAAACGAGGAAAAATCGAGTAGCCGTTTACTTCCATAATAAAGATTAATTTTCTAACAGATATTGCAATTTTCTAGAAACATACTTTGACAATCATATTGATTTTACTTAGACGTAGATTTATATCAAACACCTCACGTATTTTAATAAATATTATGTTTGTAGATAACAACGACAGCTTATCTTCAGTGTTACGTTGCTAAACGTTCAACTTATTTTTTAGTGTAACTATAAATCAGTGCAGATTAGTTTACTTGTCCTTAAGTTGAATCATTTATGCAAGAACTGATGACACTAATCAGCTGTCGAATGTGAAATCTGAAAATCGGGGCTCAAAAACAGGAAACTGATAGTTGAAAGCCACACGAATTAAAATATTCTATACAAATCTTTTATCTACTTCTCACAAAAAAGGACCGATAGCTTCCTCTAAATAATTGTAATTACTGCAAGATACACAGGCAAAAGGTTCTGACAAACTCATTGACTAACTGTGGTATAAATAATGACATTCCTTTTTCAATGTCTAGCAAATCACAAATGTGTAGTGCTACTTCAGTAATGTCTGTTATTCAATTATTGCTATATCTCCGTTAAATTTCAGATCACAAAAATGAAAAATGACCAATAACATTACTGTACAGTAGTTCATGGTACATGAAGAAAAACAGTTTATCTACATTTTTAAATTACATAATTTTAATCAAATCTGATAAAATATATTAATAAATACAATACGTATCTATTAAAATCTGTTATGGCTAAATTTATCACTTTTCTTACAGATTTAAAGCTACAATCTTCCGGTCACAGAACAAGTAAAATTTTGAAGGATTATAAAAAAAAGTGAAGTAGTGAAACTTAGTTGAAAAAAAAAGAATTGCAATTTTATGACCAACATCAAATGAATACAAGCTTAATGACATGATTGATTTTTTTACAGACAAGATAATAAAGTGACAACACCCAGTGAGTAGATAAATGGGAGAATAAAAGTAGAAGTGTCTTTTTTTTATTAATCAATAATTTTGTTTAACGAAGCAGTATGATGAAACTAATAATAATAATAACAATAATAATAATAATAATAATAATATAGGTCACAAAAAAGAATAGCGCGAAATTAAATTTCAAAGATTGAAGATATTTCAATGATATATTGACAAAATTGATAATTTGTTATTATTGTAATTGAACAGATTAAGATTATTAGGTCATTTAAGGTGATGTGCTAGAAATATGATTATAGTAGTGATAAGGAAAACAACATACTCCATCAGTTGTTTATAACTGAATAAATTGTAGAACTACTGGATTAAAAACATGAGTTTTCTTTATACAAAAATAAATTTGGGGATTTATTTACACTTGAAATTGAGCACTATCAGAAAGAAACAATTGTGCGTCAATTATTTGTTGAAAGCAAAATTAACGATCATAATCGTGAACACCTTATTGACATGACGTGATTGTTAGCAAAAACAAAAAAGACGGAATGAACAACTTCGTGAAACAAGCATATTTAATATGTCTAAAAGTCTTGTTAGTATTTATGGTGAATGTATCAACACCTGTCTGAACTGATATAATAAAAACTGTAGTGGCTGGTAATATGTCAAGCCAACATGGGTTACTCTAGTTCCTGGACAGACCAATTCATGCATTCTTCTCAAGTCACAATTTAACCTTGTCACTTATTTGCTTATTAATCTTAACTGTTTTCATATGAACGTACGTGTGTGCCCCATTTATTACGTGTTTGTAACTTATTTTTGTCTCAGTATAAATATTGAGTTACGCTTGATTAAATCAAGTTGACTCATTCACCTTCTCTACTGAGCGTCATTTCGTTTGTTTTGCTTCGTTCCCCTGACTGTCTGTTCAGATCAACGATTTGATGAAATATGTATGCTCAAAATTCGTTCTCGTATTTAGCTTATTTTATTCCGCTATTCTCTAACGCGACTTAAATCGATAAAGATATATGAAGACAGGTGGTATCCATATTTGGATAACAATCACCACACGATTTAACTGGAGTCAGATGCAAGGCCACTAAAACACCCCTTAAGTACTTACAATACACTCATGATTAATTAATTTCAATATGTTAATATACATTTCAATTGAATTCATGATACGCTACTCGTTCGAATATAACTGACTAACAAGTATATCATTTTGTAGACTTTGTACTGATATGATTCAACTTTATGTATGCCTAATTTTCATAAACCAATTCTTTTAATAAAATAATTTGAAATAAGAAAAATAAATCTAATATAGAAGTTCCATCAAATCAACACAATAATTGTAACATAAGAAAACGTCACACATTTGATCAGTTACATCAAAACATTCAGACATATGAGCATAAAGAAGCGAAGCCAAAAGTGAATTTCCTAACATGTGGTTATAAAGATAAATAATTGCTTAGATGATTTAATGCCTTGGTGCATATGCAGTAGCAAAGTACAATTATAGGTGTGTACAATCACATATTTAATAATTTTCGATTCAGTAACAAGTCAGTAAAAATCATACGAATATTAATGTGAATACATATTTCCAGCAATGCGTAAATGACACATCATTGGTAAGCATTTTCACGGATATAATTGACAAAAAGTACAGATTTAGTAAATAAATTGATTAAAAATATAAGGAAAGTAAGGATTTCAACTAATTTTATAACTGTTAAATAATTTAAAGGAATTAATATGGATTTTTCTATCCGATTATCATTTATCGATACGTGATGAAGAATATCCTACTTCAGTCAAGGACCAGATCTGTATTTTCTACACCCCTATATTTTCGACATGACATTATTGAGCCATTTTTCCTTTAAACAGTATCAAATCAGTTCAAGTCAATTCATTCGAACTTCAGTTTATTCTGAGACTTAAAGATATCAGTCAACAATGTCATTTTAAAAAAGTCATATTGAAGGATTTTTCAAAAGCAATTGCTTTCAGTAATATCTCAAGAATGAACAAAATTGTAAGTTTGTTCTTGATGAATAGACAGACTGCATTAAGATATTCGTGGTACAAGGATATCATTTGTTTATTTTTGTAGGAATGAAACAACAAGAGTTAATAAACTGGTATAAAAAACACTTGGTATAGTAATAAAACTTATTTTGCTTCTTACTACGATTTTTACCGTGTTTCTCGCTGTAATCCTTATACGTTTTCCTTTTGACACATTTCTTCTCTTAAAACAATGCTCACATTGTGAAATTCTTTGTTTATTTCTATTACTGTAATCAGCTAACAGACATAAATAGTGAATTCTATACTAGGAGACTACATTTTTGAGGATAAAACGCAGAAATATCATATAGTCATTGTCATATATTTTTCATACATACATAAGTTTGTAGGTTCTGTGATATTAGGTTGTTCGGAAAACATTTACCAAAT